CCTTGAGGATGTGAGACGTGGTCCGAGAGCTGCTCGTCTGGGTGCAGCCGGCCAAGCAGGCAGACAGGTAGGTGACGCCGTTGGAGCCGCACACGGGGCTGATGGAGGAGATGAAGCAGTTGCACTTACTGATGCATGGAGCATCTGGTTTCTCGCCCACTCGCAGCGTCCTGAACAGAGACGCAGAGAGAAACCTGAGCTTTCCTCTCCAAATGTAAGTTCAAGTTATATCTGTATGTGGCACAAACACAATTGAACTGCGGCCCAATAAACCTTTCATCCATCAGCTGGACCATGACAGAACTGAGAATGTGTCCGTTTGGAGGTCAGTGAATAGGTCAGACCTCTGCAGGAGACGGATCTGTGTTGGATGAGTTATATGAAACCGTCGGGCTGTCTCACCCGGGCCCAGCGGTGGAGACGAGACCCAGCCGCCTGCAATGACCCATGCAGTGGCTAGTAGTTTGGCTTAAACATGCATGTGGCACCCCCTTTGTTTGTTGTCAGAGTTTGTTATTTTCCACAAGTTTGATATGATGGCCCCAGTCTGTTTTATATAACAGAAGAGGGCCGGATGTGGATTTTTTTCAGATTGAAAAACAACACAATTTATTTATATTAGGGCTTTGCTGTTAAAAAAACCCACAAAACACAAATACTCAATTTACAATGATATGAAATGGAGAAAAACAACAAATCCAAATATCTGAGAAGCTGGAAACAGAAAAGGTTTGCTTTAAAAATGACTGAAGCAATTAGTCCCTCAGTAAATAGTTGCTGATCGATCAAATCATTTTAGCTTTAGAAAAAAGAAAAAACTAATTCTATTGAACTTGAACTTGTTAGACCTTAAGTGTTTGTTTGTTTTTTATCCATAAAGGTTCAGAAATCTAGTATGTTTTTAAGAATGTAACAATCACATTCTCATTAAAATATAATTGACAACTAGGTTTTGTCTTAAATTACAGGTCAATCGAAACTAGTAATATGGTCCTGATTCTTGGTGAAAGTTACTTGAGTAACTAGGAACCATTTGTTTTATAGTCCTCTAATAGTCCCCCCCCCTCCCCCCCCCCCCCCCCTCCCACACGCACACACCCATCTCGGGCCGTCACCTGTCGGGGGCTTAGATGAGCTCAGCCTCATGGCTTCACCCTTATCGTCAAAATGCTGATGTTTTTAAAAAGCTTCCATTTGGCATCATTGGAAACCTGGTCTGCTCCGGGGAAAGCGGGGAGAGGACCAGACGAGAAGACACCACTTTGACTCCAAAAGCCATTGAAGTCATTCCGTTGAATTTGAGAGGGTTTGACGTCAGCGGAGGTTAAAGCAGGATGATCCTGATATAATGGCGTTTGAATGAAGTTTAGAGCCTATTTTAAGCGTTGGCTTGGTATTTAGGTCATTGCTGTGTGGGTACAACGGGGTTACGATACGGTACAACTGACCAACCAGCAACCTCGAGTTGCTTCTTTTTTTTGTACAGTAAATTGATCATTAATTCAATGGAGAAACTATTACTGAAAGATTTAGGACATTTTTTCAATAATTAATCAGTTTTTTTCATTAAACAGGGTCATTATAGTCATTTAATTTTAATTTAGTTACCTGTATCATATAAGACGGCCAGTACAACCTGATAATCAAAAGTTATTTTCATGGGTTTAGTTGGGGGTTCGCTGTCTTGTCTTGATTTAAGAGTTAGGTAAGGAGCAGGCAGACACGAGTCTGACAGGATGGGGAGTCAGTTTCTGTCCTGGCTGAGGAATGTAAGGTCTGCGGGTCAACTAGCAGATTTACCAGCCAAAGGGGGGTTAGAGACACACCAACACTATTCAACATACACACTCTGTTTACGATGTTTACGTTAAGTCAGGAGTCTGGACATTGGATGTGACCGGATCTTAGATGCGGGAGGTGGAAGGTCCTCCTCTACGCCAGTTTAGGGCCAATAGAAATCTTTCCTTCTCTGTCTTTCAAGGGTTATAAAACATGATGTTCTTGCTGATGTTAGTGAGTTGTTCTTCCGGCCTGTGTGCTGCCTGAACTGCTCCTGCCTTTGCAAACGCAGCGCTGATACTTGACCTGTGATCTGACAAATAAATCTCCCAGAACGAGAGAAGTCATTCGGCTGAATTTTTGATAACCCCGACCAGGCTCCAATTCTTGAACACGTATTCTTACAATTTGGTGACCCCGACGTGATTTGCTGACCTGGACAAAGAAAGACGGGGACGTCCGTTTTCCGGACCGAGCTGAAAGGACCGGCGGCGTGGTTCAGCATTGACAACAGGCGCGCAAACAGAATCAGGTGAGCAGACAACCTTTTGTTCTAAATGAATAAAATGTCTGTGATTGGATACTTCTAAAAAGATTTGTTGTCAATTGCAGAATTCGTCTCTGTCCATTGACTGAATGAGGTCGTTATAAGACCACTAAATTTAAAACTGAATTAGAAAATTTCCTGTTGATCACATGTAAAGTATAAGCACATACTCACACTGAATTCAACGTCAGGGAAAGTGAATAAGTGTCCATAGGTTTAGGGCAGGGGTATTCAACTAAAATGTTAAGAGGTCCAGTTAGAGACATTTTCTTGAAGCAAAGGTCCAGAAGATCATAATGTCTAACTATTTAGTCTGATATATATTTAAGTAGCCTAGTAGTTGTATAAACATCTGCATATAATCAATACCTTTCAAATCAAAGGAATTCGGTACGATTAAAACACTTTTTAACAATATTTATAATCATGTAACATAGAACTGGACTTATGTGTGACTGCAGATATGTATGATGCTCTCTCATGAACTAAATAAAAGTAGGGCTGCATTTTTAAAATAAAATAAATACAAAATGAAAATGGTGCATGTAATAATAAATAATAATAATCAAATAAAGTGCTTAACTTCAGATAAATTAAATAAAGGGAGGAAAAGCTTAAATGTCCCCGTTTCTGTTTCAGTCTCAAACGATTTTACAGATAATAAATCTTCTTAACAATCATCTTAACAATTTAACAGTTTTAGAGCATTAGTGTTGCATCCCACTCCCCCACTTTGTTGGTCAGTTCATTCAGATGTGCAGTGATATCAACCAAAAAGGCCACATTATCCATCTGTTTCTCATTTCCTAAAAAGAGAGAAAACTGCGTTGCTTTCTGATGTCTTAGCTCTGCCAAAAAAGATGCTACTTCCCTCCTGATGGACCAAAAGCGCGCTAAGACCTTCCCTTTGCTGAGCCATCTCACATTATTGTGCAGCAAAAGATCATCAGCATTGGCATCAACTTCTCTGAGGAATTCCCTCAGCATGCGATGCTGGGTGTGGCTCAGGATCCTGGTTGACTGTTCATATTGGGCTGTGAGGCCACTTGTTTTCTGTGATCTCACTTCGGATTTGAGTGGGTATGTTTGTTCAAAACCTTTATGTTTTGTCTCATAATGGCGTTTCACGTTGCCACTTTTAATAAGTGCCACGGTTTCTGAACATATAAGACACACTGGCTTTGTGCTCCCTGTGGGAAGTATGAACAGAAATGAGTCTGTCCATTCCGGATTAAATGCTCTATTTTCGCTGTCAACTTTTCTTTTTTTGGAGAGCGACATTTGGTCTCTATGTTTCTCTCCCTTTCTCTGTCTCACTCGCCTTTTCCTCAACTTTCTCCGGCGCAGTCGTCCGTTTCTCTCCCTTTGTTTTCTAAATGTGTCGCTATCTTTCTTTTTCTTTCTCTAACTTTCTCATCTCTCAGCGCGGGCGCAGCGCTGTCTTGAGACGTAATGTTTACCGCCGAGAATGCATAGATTTGATTGGCTGAGTGGTATCACGTGTGTTACGTCCCCTGTTCTGTGTACTGTATAGGTATGTGTTCTGTTTTTTGTGTGTGTGTGTGTGTTCATACAGGTGGTACTGATCATCCATGATCTCCGTTCATCTTGGCTCCACCCACTCTCGTTACCCGGTTCAGCTGTTTCCACTCATATCCAATCCCATCATGCCCTTCTGTCAGTATATGTACCCCTGTGTTTGTTTCACCCAGGGAGGGTGTCACTCCGGTTGTGTGTATGTGAGTGCTGGTGTATGGTAGTTATTTAGTTCTGGTGATTTGGTGTACTGTGTATTCAATTAATTGTGTTTTTTTTCTTTGTTATTTTTCTTACAGGGGGATGAGGAGTAGTTTAGCCCTGCTCCGGAGTTTACATACCTGCACGTAGGGTTACTCTCCTGTCTAACAACACTAGCTACACCTGGCTGGGCCACCTACTGTAAGTTTGGGTAGGGCGCCTTGTTAATGTGCCAGTTAGTGGTTTTCGTTGGGAGATAGGACAGGTAAGGGGGTGGGAGGCATTTTGTTCTTTTCTTTGCTTTGGTACCGCCAGCCCTCCTCATTTCCCCTGTTAACAGCGCTTAAATAAAAGCCTGCTTACCCCAACTTCAGGTGATGTTGTTTTCTTGCACCTACGACGCCATACCCGTTTACTGGTCACAGGACGTCCTCGGGCAGTGGCGTGAATCCCACTCCCCTCCTGGGGAGTCAGAACGTAACAAGTGGGGGCTCGTCCGGGATTCTCGCTCTGCTGCTTGGGTGTCCCTGTGGTCGGTATCTTTGGTGTGGTACAGGTGTGGGTGAGGACTAGCTTGTTGTGGTTGTTGTAAACGTGTTCCTGATTGTTCAGTTTGATGTTTGTATTTGGTGTGTCTTTGTGTTTATGTAGTTAGTTGACTCGTGGCATACAGCATGGCGTCAGGGGCAGTTGATTTGTTTATTGCGGACCCTTCTCTTGAGGGGCTGTTGAAACTTACTAAGGTAGACCTGTTGGCTGTCGCGGCAAATTATGGCATCACCACAACCAAACAATCACTCAAACCCGTAATCGTTGCAACCATATCACAGCATTTATTGGCTCAAGGTGTTGTTGCCTCACAGGAGGAAGAGGAGGACAAGGATGAGGAAGGGTTGGAAAGGGTGGAGGTTCCGCCGGGCTCCTCGCCTATACGGCCGGAGGGTGGTGTGGGGGTTGAGTCCCGGGTGCCTCTAACCCTGCCCAAGTTTCAGCCGTCTCCTGAAGAGTCTGGTAGGTCGGTGGAGACCGCTAGGCTCCGGCTTCGTGTAGCCCGTCTTGAAGCTGACCTTAGGGATAAGGCAGAAAGGAGACAACAGGAGTATGAGCTAGAACTGCGTAAATTGGACATCAAGAGGCTGGAAGTGGAGACCAGCAAAGAGATAAGGAAAATGGAGATACAGGCAGAGACGGAGGTTAAGATACAGATACGGCAGCTGGAGCTAGCTGCTGGTGTATCCTCCTCCCCACCAGTTGGTAGAGAGGGACCTTTTGATGTTGGGAGAAACATAGCTATCGTACCTCCATTCCGTGAGTCAGAGGTGGACTCTCATTTCTCCGCCTTCGAGCGAGTAGCAGGGGCACTTCACTGGCCTAAAGAGGTCTGGCCTTTGCTACTCCAGTGCAAGCTGACAGGGAAGGCGCAGGAGGTTGTGGCGTCTCTGTCCCTGGAAGAAAGTGGACAGTATGACCTGGTGAAAGCTGCTGTTCTCAGAGCTTACGAATTGGTTCCAGAGGCCTACAGGCAGCGCTTCCGGAACCATAGGAAAAGCAGTAATAAAACTTTTGTAGAGTTTGCTAGGGATAAAGAGTCTCTGTTCGATCGCTGGTGTGCTGCTAGCAAAGCCTCTACATACGCTACCCTTAGGGAGTTGACGTTACTGGAGGACTTTAAGAGTCACCTCCCAGACGACATAGTCGTTCACCTGAATGAACAGAAGGTAGCAACAGTGGCACATGCAGCGGTCATGGCAGATGAGTACGCTTTGACCCACAAAACTGTGTTTTACCCTAGCACGCCTACCCATGGACCCAGACCGAGTAACTCCCAGGCGGTGAGAACTTCTCGTGCTCCTGCTGCCCAGCCCTTCACTAGGGGACCTAGCAAAGCAGAGAGGGAATGTTTTTATTGTCGGTTGCCAGGCCACCTAATCGCTGACTGTCCTACGCTAAAGGCTAAACCCAAAGGCCCTCTGTCGCCATCACTGAGTAAGGGTGTTGGCTTTGTGGGCCCAAAGAAGCCCTCAGTAGTGTACAGCCCTTTTCTCTCTAAGGGGTGGGTGTCTCTGTGCGATGAAGCGAGCCAGCAACCAATAACAATACTGCGTGACACAGGGGCTGCTCAGTCTATCATTGTATCTACATCGCTACCCTGGTCTGAGAAGTCATATTTTGGATCACATGTTTTATTGACAGGAATTGAGATGGGCACAATATCTGTGTCGTTGCACTGGGTTTACCCGTCGTCGTCTATCGTCTCTGGCCGTGTCCGTGTGGGTGTGGTCCCACGGTTGCCAGTAGATGGGGTGTCGTTTCTACTGGGCAACGACATAGCAGGGGGCAGAGTGGTCCCGGTCCCAGAGGTTGTGGACAACCCAGATCCCGCCTACACTGGAACGGAGACAGACAGGTCAGTGTTTCCTGCGTGTGTTGTGACACGTGCGCAGGAAAGAAAAATGAAGAACGTATATGATGTTTCATCCTTATATCAAGCTGTGTGTGATCCAGACCCACGGCCTCCCAACGAAAAGGATAAGTCTCCTCCACCTTCAGTCGAGCGCATACCTGAGGGGAGTGAGTTGGAGTTAGTAGAGTTGGTAGACACCATTACAAAGAGTAAGGTGATTGAGTGTCAGCAAAATGACGAAAGCCTGCAAAAATGTTTTGAGGCGGTAGATAAACCAGTTACTAAGGAATCCAATGTTGCATATGGTTTAGAAAACGGTCTATTAGTAAGGAAATGGACTGCTCGACCTTCAGTGGGTGTCAGCGAGTGTGTTTACCAGGTTGTGTTGCCCACACTGTTTCGTCAGCAGGTGTTGTCGCTGGCTCATGACTACACGTGGGCAGGGCACCTGGGCATCCGGAAGACTTATGACCGTGTCCTTAGACACTTCTTTTGGCCTGGTCTGAAAAAGGATGTGATCAGGTACTGCAATGCTTGTAAGATCTGTCAGCTAGCAGGAAAACCAAATCAGGGGGTTCCTCGTGCTCCATTGTTTCCAATACCGGTGGTGGGGGAACCATTTGACAGGGTTATGATCGACTGTGTAGGCCCTCTCCCAAAAACAAGGGCTGGCAACCAATTCCTGCTGACTATCATGTGTTGTGCGACCAGGTTTCCAGAGGCTATTCCTCTCCGCAAAATCACCACCAAAGCAGTAGTCAAAGGACTCATAAAGTTCTTTACCACTTTTGGGTTACCTAAGGAATTGCAGTCGGACCAGGGGTCCAATTTCACATCATCCTTGTTTGCCTCGGTGATGAGGGCATTAGCGATCACCCACCAAACGTCCAGTGCCTACCACCCTGAAAGTCAAGGGGCGTTAGAGCGATGGCATCAAACATTGAAAGGCATGCTAAAAAAACATTGCTTGTCTGCTCAGTCGGACTGGGATGAAGGGCTACCTTTTGTTTTGTTCGCTATCAGGGAAACAACTCAGGAATCAACAGGGTTCAGTCCAAATGACCTGGTGTTTGGTCACACAGTGCGGGGTCCTTTACAAATACTGAAGGAACAATTGTTGGGTGACAAACAACATACCGTGACTAATGTGTTGGACTATGTGGCAAAGACGCGAGAAAGATTGCATCTAGCCTGTGAATTAGCAAAGGAATCTCTTTCGGCCACACAGAAACGGATGAAGTTGAGGTATGACAAAAAAGCAGTGAAGCGCGAGTTCCTCCCTGGAGATCAGGTGCTGGTATTGTTGCAAGTACCTGGTTCATCGCTATCAGCGCAGTACTGTGGTCCATACACTGTGGAAAAGTGTGTTAGTGAGACAAATTACATGGTCAGGACTCCTGAGCGGAGGCACCCTTTACGCCTTTGTCATATAAATATGTTAAAGGAGTACCGAAATGGGGACAAAAACAAACCTGTACATCCAAGTGGGTCCAGCCATAATGTTGCTCAAGGTCCGGTGGCTGGAGTTCTGGTCACAGAGGTTTGTCCTGAGGATGACATGGAGGATGAAGTAAGGGAACAGTCTGGTAATGTTTTGACCAGTGAGAGGTTAAACAATTCTGAAATGACCAAAATGTTGCCGTCTATAATGGAGCATTTAGACAAAAAGAAACGGGAAGACCTTGTTTACCTGATCCATGCTTTTCCCGGCCTTTTTCAGGACGTTCCCAGTCGGACAACAGTGTTGGAGCATGACATTGATGTAGAAGACTCCAAGCCCATCAGAATGCATCCCTACCGTGTGAACGCCCGAAAAAGAGCGGAAATGAGGAAAGAAACAGAGTACTTGCGGAAAAACAACATGGCTGTGCCTAGCCGTAGTCCATGGAGTTCTCCCTGTATTTTGGTGCCCAAGCCGGACGGTACCTCGAGGCTGTGTACGGATTATAGACGAGTAAACGCCATTACTGTACCTGATTCGTATCCTATGCCCAGAACAGACGACTGCGTCGATACTATAGGTTCCGCAGTTTACGTAAGCAAGCTAGACATGCTAAAGGGTTATTGGCAGGTGCCATTGACCCCCCGTGCCTCCGACATTTCTGCTTTCGTAACGCCAGACAGTTTTCTGCAGTACACCGTAATGGCGTTTGGAATGCGCAATGCGCCCGCCACTTTCCAGCGTCTGGTTAATGTGGTGTTAGCAGACGTGCCCAATTGCACGGCGTATCTAGATGATATTGTGGTACACTCTTCATCGTGGGAAGAGCATGTAGCCACATTAGCGGAAGTGTTCCACAGGTTAGCAGCAGCTTCCCTAACACTGAACTTAGCAAAATGTGATTTCGGGAAGGCAACAGTGACCTACTTAGGGAAGGAAGTAGGCCAGGGCGAGGTGCGCCCCATAGCTAGAAAAGTAGAAGCTATCGAGTCATTTCCTGTCCCAATTACCAGACGCCAGCTGCGGCGATTTGTTGGTATGGTTGGTTATTACCGTACATTCTGTAAGAATTTCTCTACGGTAATGGCCCCACTCACCTCATTACTGAGTCCGAAAGTGCAATATGCATGGTCGGCAGAGTGCCAACAAGCATTCGAATCTGCTAAAGCTCTTCTTTGTGCCTCCCCAGTTTTAGCAGCTCCTGATTCCAGCACGCCCTTCAAGCTGGAAGTCGACGCCAGTAGCATGGGTGCAGGAGCAGTTCTGATACAGGAGGATGACAAGGGAATCGATAGGCCCGTTTGTTACTATTCTAAGAAATTCACGCCCTGTCAGACACGATATTCAACAGTCGAACAGGAGACGTTAGCACTACTGTTAGCTTTGCAATTCTTCGAAGTGTATGTTGGGTCTAGCGCCTTACCTGTGACAGTGTACACCGATCATAATCCTCTAGTTTTCCTCGGCAGGATGTATAACAGCAACAGGCGGTTGATGCGGTGGGCGTTGATTGTACAGGGGTACAATTTAACGATCCAGCATATTAAGGGTTCTGACAACGTTGTCGCTGATGCACTCTCGCAAGTCTGGTGAGAGATTTGTTGCCAGGGGTCTCCGTTGACGGTACGTGGTGTACTGTCGGTGTGACACTAACTGTATGTTGTGTCATTTTGTGGTGGGCGTGTTACGTCCCCTGTTCTGTGTATAGGTATGTGTTCTGTTTTTTGTGTGTGTGTGTGTGTTCATACAGGTGGTACTGATCATCCATGATCTCCGTTCATCTTGGCTCCACCCACTCTCGTTACCCGGTTCAGCTGTTTCCACTCACATCCAATCCCATCATGCCCTTCTGTCAGTATATGTACCCCTGTGTTTGTTTCACCCGTGGTGGGTGTCATTGGTTGTGTGTATGTGAGTGCTGGTGTATGGTAGTTATTTAGTTCTGGTGATTTTCTGTACTGTGTATTCAATTAATTGTGTTTTTTTTCTTTGTTATTTTTCTTACAGGGGGATGAGGAGTAGTTTAGCCCTGCTCCGGAGTTTACATACCTGCACGTAGGGTTACTCTCCTGTCTAACAACACTAGCTACACCTGGCTGGGCCACCTACTGTAAGTTTGGGTAGGGCGCCTTGTTAGTGTGCCAGTTAGTGGTTTTCGTTGGGAGATAGGACAGGTAAGGGGGTGGGAGGCATTTTGTTCTTTTCTTTGCTTTGGTACCGCCAGCCCTCCTCATTTCCCCTGTTAACAGCGCTTAAATAAAAGCCTGCTTACCCCAACTTCAGGTGATGTTGTTTTCTTGCACCTACGACGCCATACCCGTTTACTGGTCACAGGACGTCCTCGGCAGTGGCGTGAATCCCACTCCCCTCCTGGGGAGTCAGAACGTAACACGTGGGATGGCTTAACTCGCATGCAATTGGTCTGTGCGTTTCCTCATCCGCTAAACCACTACCGTAAATACTGCAAAAGCCGCGCCGCCAGGTAAAAAAATTAAAACGCCGTCAGGTTTTAAATCACAACCTTCTGTTTTGGCTGGCGGTCCGGGTCCGGATGGGACGGCCTCTGGGTCCGGACCCGGACCGCGGTCCGCCAGTTAGTGACCTATGATCTACACTAAGACGCTTTGTCAGACCTTCCTGCTCCTCTAAGGGAAAAGGAACCTTCTGTCCCTCTTCAGCTGAGTTGAGTCATACGTGGTATATTTCAATAAAAGCTCGGTAGAAGAGAATGATCTGTCAGAGTCTTGATGAATGATCAAAGTTGCAAAAAGTCCATTTATTGCTTGCAAGCAGGAGGTCCAACACACCAGCATGTATCTCAGCGCTCGGCGTAATGACGTCTCCGAGCAGTGAAAACGCTGAGTTTTATACACATGTGAAGGACATTCTCCGTGCCCGTTACGAGAAGCTGCAAAGCAGGTTGAGATAAGAACCCAGGTGAAGCTGAGGGTAACACACACACACACAAGATCCTCCTCAGTGGCCGGTGCAAATCATAATTAATTGACATAAAGTAAAAACGTGGATCCGGAACGAAAGCTCAGAATAAGATATCAACCAAGGCCATGAACAGGAGTCCTTTGCTTTGCAGCGTCTATGAGATCGAGTTGACCGCTCTCCCTTCTCAGTGCGCAGCTGCAAAGCAACATTTTGTATCATGCTGCTCTTTGCACATCAGGGTCAAATACAGGACACGGCCTTAGCACAAGGCATGAACTCCTGTCTGTGGCTCATGTTTTACGATTTGTGTATTCTTCATGATCTGTCTGTATGTGACTTTGTAATAAACACTTGAACGAGCTTACGATACTTTTGATTACTCACAAGGACATTATCCACTCATTTCCACCACAATGAGGAACACTGTCACTGACATATCTCTGACTGTCTCTCTCTCTGTCTGTCTGTCTCTGCTTAACCATTATATCTGTTTGCTCTCACCTTCACAGAATTATTTCCTTGGAATCCACTTTATGTTGGTTGTCTGGGCTTCATCCTTCTCAAATTTCTTAACTCCTACTCGTCCCCTTAGGTACTTGAAAAGAAGCTCTTAGTCCTTCCACGGTTGACACGGCAGCTTGTGGGAAATCGAGTGTTTGATGTCGAACCTCCTCGCTATGGAGGACGCTCCCACGCCACATCAGATCTGCTCCCATCACTGACACGTTCTCACAACCTTTCCCCCCCTTTGGTCCTTACGTCTGCATTACACGCCAATACATACAGTGTGTGTGTGTGTGTGTGTGTGTGTGTGTGTGTGTGTGTCTATTTCTGGTTTAATGATTGTTTTACATCCGTCCACATCGATTCCTTCTTTTGCTGTTACACGTTGAATAACTTCTGTTCAGATATACCCTACACATTGAAAATAAACTTGGAATTACATATGAACATATGCTAATATCTTTGGGACGGTGTGTCCATGTAATACTGTCAAAACCAGCTGCTACATATCTAAATCTAAAGTATTTTTAAGATAGATAGTGCCGTTACCACACCACTGTTAATGTGAACTAAAGGAAAGGTGAGTTTCTTTATATAAAACATTTCAGCATCAAGACAATTCAACAGATAAAGAAAGGCATTATAAAAAGACATGCAAATACAAATACACGGGTTGTGGTTGAAGACCAAATTCAGACACAAACAAGGTCAAATAAAGGGTTAGGGTGAAAGGGGATGATAGGGGTGTGTGTGTGTGTGTGTGTGTGTGTGTGAGGGCGGCAGGTAATGGATTGTGCTGTCAAGGTGGGAAGGCTTGAGGACCGGATGGTATAATTGAGGCACAGGAAGACAAGCCAAATGAAGATAGGAAACACACAAGAAGGAATTCAGTCAGAAATACAAAACAGTGAGCAGCCGCACACCAACAACTACAGCTGCAGTTGCAACAATGATTCGCCAACGAGGGGATGGAAAGTTAGATGTATTGTTGAGAAGATGAGTTGTCAAAAAATCCAATCAAAATCGAGGCTTTAAATTCTGAAAATAAATATTTGGACGGGGACGGGGAATTTAAAGCCTCGATTTTGATTGGATTTTTTGTTGTGCAATGAAGGTCAGCTTGCACAAGAACAGCATGTTTGACATTCACCTGTGTGTATGTTTCCCATTCATGCGTGGCCTGGACGTTGCATATGATGATCTAATTTAATGAGCTAAAACTCCCCTGATAATGTGACTACAAATACATTCTTAATATATTGCTGTATGTTATTTTTTTTAAATCTGACACAAACCAAACAAGTGCGCCACAATTAATGAAAAACCTTCAACTTGATGAAATTATTGAAAATGTATTTTCTCATGTAGTAGTAATGTAATGAATCAATGTTTTCTGTTTGTTGAAAGGTTAAATAAATCTGTATCTGACATTGTAAAATGTGCTTTTTCAAATGTTTTGTGTTTTAATGAAGTTATCAATGTATCTGTGGGGGAGAAGGGGAGACCGTTCAGTTCAACACTGCCCTCTTGAGGCATCATGACGCTGTTCAATTCAGAAGAGCTTTATTTTTCATTAAGACCGAGACGACCATACACCTGTTTTTCTGAAAGATTTTCTCAAGAAGATGATCGATAAAACATCCACCATCAAAAATTGTAAAAATATATTCCATTTCCCTTTAACCGTACTTTGAGTTTTGTTGAAGAGAATGAACTATGAAAAGATGAATCCCATAACAAACGCATACAAAGCAATAAATACACATTTGTTCTCCTAGGTAGATCAATTGCAGGGCTTAATAATAGGCAACATATTTGATTTCACATTTCCATTAACTCCATTTTTCCAGTATCCAACAAAATTGACCAGTATTACATTTGTGGAAATAAGTTTGCTGGGCTGGAAAAGAATGCAAACTAAATCCTAGTCGCAAACCAAATCCTAGTCATTCTTCCAGATGTACTTGTATCCAAATAGCTTACATTAAATGCAGTTTAATTTGTGTCCCAGAAAACCTCACATTTCTGAAATGCTTCTAAAATGTAAGTGTGAATACACTGTATATCCTAAAGGCATCTTGTATCAATCAAATAAAAAAAAAAACCCGAACAAAGCACTTTAAAAATTGGCACCAGTGTGAAACTACAGATGTGGAAATACTGCTGGCCAATGTTGATTTCTTTCCAGAATACCAATAAGAGTTACATGCTGCTCTTTGAATAAAAAAGGCACCATCAGTAGTTCGCTCCGTTAACAGTAAAAAACGGCATCACAATTAGCTCGAGGGGCGAGTCTAGTTCCCCGAAGCATTATATTAACATGAATGGAACCATTATCTTCATACTGAGTAGACTGATATTTTGCCTTCCCAACAACATCAAAACGCCGTTTAAGTATCTTTGCGTTTTGAATGAATGACTTTATTCATCAGAGCAGGCCGTGTGCTCCTTTCTTTTTTAAATAATTCCAACCATGGATTTCCAGTTCTATTACCGAACACTGTTCTTTCTATTCATTACGACTGATCAGACCGTTTCCTCCAGCTGGGTGTGGCACATTCGCCGAGCTCATCAAACTGCATATTAACAAAAGATTTGTAAAATAGTGCGACCTCTGGTCCTGAGAAAAGATTCACAGGCAAAACGTGTCTAGTCGTAGTGGAGGTTTAAGAATCCAGCATTTTTAGCTTTGATGATATTTAAAGGCCAAAATCTGTGCTAACAGTTCTAATATTTGAAATAGTCAGTGCTAATAAATATTTCTTTCCTTAAATTGTTCATATGTGCCAAGACTCAGCAACTGTTGTTGTCCTTCAAACAAACCAGAAGTAACCAATCGAATGTAAAATAAAAAAAGTACATTTACGTCTTGCAAAAAAGCAGCCAAATATTTGACAATAATCCCAGTATTATCTTTGAAGAGTATTTTCTTTGAAGAGTATTTTCTTTGAAGAGTATTTTCTTTGAACAGCACATTATTGTGCAATGATTTCTTCTGATAGTGGTGCTTGACAGGATTAAACATTAAATCATATTCTCACCAGTTCATGATTATCTAACAGAAGTAGAAAACGATCAACAAACACCAAACAACCAAACAACAAAAACTAGCCAGTAACAACTATCCAGTAACTGAAATTCCTTCAAACTTAAGAGACATTTACAGACAAGGTCTGAGAAATGTTGGAAATGTTTGACATACACGTTAAGGCAAATATTAGCTTCATTCTCTCATTTCGTCGTGGTGCAGGGGTTAGAGAAGGTGTGCTGGGAAGCCCCATGTTCCATGACGAAAGTGTCCCTGAGCAAGACACCTAACACCTAATTGCTCCCCGGGCAAAAATGTGAAAAAAAGCCATGGGTTTAAAGTGTAATGTAAGTCGCTTTGGATAAAAGCGTCTGCTAAATGACCTGTAATGTAATGTAATGTAATGTAATTTCAAGCCATCGTTACGACAACTGTTGTGAGTGCAGCTACATTGATGCAAACATCAGAGAGAGAGAACAGAGAACACTGCAATTCGATCTCTATTTCCTACTTAAGGCTACAGATAATTACAAGGAGAAATAAAAGTACAGCTTTGGGGGTTCTTCCGGTGCACCTTCCTCGGGACAAATGTTTCATAGAGCCTGTAGTCGCTAAGCGTGAATGATGCATGATTACGTACAGACCTGCAACCAGTAAACAACATTTGACGGAGTTGATAAAGAAAAGGCAGTTTGTGATAGGCTACATGTGGGTGAATTTAACACTGGATATGCATATCACCATCTTGAAACCAGCATTCAGGTACTGGGAGGAGTGGTTTTGTGGCATTCCAACATTCCTTAGAAATGACATAGGAAGTTGGCAGAAAGCTAGATGCTGAAATTCCTTATGGTCGAAGCCCACAGGACTTTGTATATATTGCTTTAAACTTAATTTTGGGATCTTTTCGTGCCTTTTTTAATATATATTGTTTTCATGGCCAATAACATTGTGTAAGCATTTGGTCTGGAGGGAAATACCATTCACTTACTGTTACAAATGGACAATTAAGCTCAATTAAGTGATTGGAGGTGTTGACTTTTGGTCAGCAAACAGCACATGAACAGATTCCTCTGCTTGTTAAATATAAATACATAGAAGTAACATTAGTTTCCACCTAAGATTGATTGTACCATCAATTTAATACTCAGTTTTTTAATATAAATCAACACATTTCTTGCTAGTTCTGACAACATAAAGGATCAAATAAAGATGCAACCGAGCAGGAAGGATCACATCTGCTGTGCCTTTCATAAAAATAGATTTGGCTTTCACTTTTACAGCAGAAGAAAATCCAGCAATGATCGTAGTTGAAAACCATAACGTTAAAGGGCAACTTTTAATCACGAGTCGGTGGTCGCAAACCACTTATGAAGGAGAACCTCGCTCCTCGATCCCATTCACACTCAGAGAAGTAAAGTGAACAGTGTCTCAGCGACTGCAGAACCAAGCTGGGAAGTCTTTGGGTCCATTAGGAGTCTTTTGGGTCCGGTCTTGTTACCCCTGCAGGGGGCAGAAGCCGGTTACTAGGAGAGTCCCTGTGCTTGGTCGTAATCTGTGATCAGGCCTTTGATATGCGACAGTTTCTGATGCAGGTACTCGCAACGCTTCTTCTCTTCCCGATAACCAGGAAACCTCTGAAAAGATAAAAGGGAGGCGCAAGTGAGCTTTTGGTAACGCATGTCAGCGCCATAGATGTTTGTAATAACATCATAAATCTCTATTTACTTTATATTTGGGAGATTGAGGGGTTACTTATATGTTTTTGTGGCAGAATTGTTATATAAGGCTCAATTTTCTCATCAATTCGTAGGAGATTTCACTCATAACGGAATGATAATGTGTCAGTAGGTGAACATAATATTGATGATGCTTATTTGACAACTCTTACTTTCTTATACTTGCGGTACTTTTGTAGTATTTGGACCTCCATAAGCTGAAAAGATAACCGAAAAAAAACCATAGCGTTAGGTTTGCCGTGTATGTGATCAGTTCATCGTTTGGTATTGATCGGGAACGCAGCAGTCCGAGACTCCCGGTCCAGACAGTACCTTGTACTCTTGTGTTCCCGGAGAGAGAGTGTTGATCTTTGAGCCCAACTGAACAAACTTCTCCGTGATGGACCCGATCCGATCATGGAGAGCTCTGTATTCATCATACTCTGCGCAGAAGTCGTCTTTGTACTCTTGCCGCTGCTCCAGTGCTTTTATGGCGCTGTATTTTCTGAAGAAACGAAACAAAAAACAAACATGAGAAGTTTTTTGTCATTTCTGCCAGTAGATGGCACTGCAGAAGGGGCCAAGGGCCTGACTGATTAAAAGCCCACAATGTGTTGACCAGATGTAAGAATGTAAGACATAAGGTCAAAGCTTTGTGACAGCTCGTTCAGACATGTGCTTTACTTGACTCTATTCACGCAAATGTTAGCTGATCAAAACCCCTTTGGGACAAGTTGGTTTCTCCTCTCAACAACAGTGGGTTAGACTTCCAAATCCTAAACCGCTCAGTGACAGATAAACAACTTATGAGGACTCATTGACAATCATTTTAATTCAACTCTTGAATCGTGAATCGTGAAGTTCTGGATTTGTATGAAAGGTAGGGCCTTACATTAAATATTCGGGAAGTTCCTCTGCGGAGGTCCGATTGACAGGTGTTTTCTCTTGTTCGTGGTCTGTTAATAGAAAAAGAAACCACGCACAGACATTGAAGGAAAAGCGGTTAGGGAAATCTGCCAATGCAAATGCAATGATGTAGCCATCATATCAAGGCCGACGGAATCATTTATCACTCTCTGATAAGAGATCAGATCCAAGGCGAGCGATGACGTCTGCAGCCGCAGAGTGGGAGGCGACGCCGCCTGCTGACTCGCTCGAGCGTAGGTCACCCAGCTGTTTGCCGGTCAATCATCAACAGACTGGAGCAGAGACTGCAGAGCCGACAAGAGGCACTCTCTGCGTTTTGAAATGTAAATCAATGGGCCTCCAGCTGCAACTATGACTTTTTTTTTTGTTTGCTTAAGTAAAGAAGATAAATAACGAGAAACAGACCCATGGCAGCTGAATACAAAACATGCAGTGTGACAAAACCTTTACACACACAGCTTTATGGTTTCAAGGCCATTCACCTTTAAGATTTTCTCGGTTCTGCTTCAGGTCCGGGCTTTTCTCAATCCAGTCCGGTTTTAGGCGCTCCCGTTCTTTGTCCTTGTGCTTTTTGGACCTCTTCTTCTTATGTTGGCCGTTGGTGGGTTGTTGATCGGTGCAGATGGACGCGTCAGTGTGTGGGGGCTCGGAGCTGGTTGCAGTGGGAGCTGGCTCTGCTCTCTCCAGTTTGGGTACGGTAGATGACACGCCGAGTTTGTGCGGTGAGTACAGACCGTTTGGACTCCCCTGGAGATGATTGCTGGTTTTGTTGAACTCCAGTTTGATCTGTGCTCTGGAGTTTCCGTGGGTCGAGGAACTACGAGCGCCGATGTTGGCGTAGTCGGCATGAGACGGCGAACACAGAGGAAAACACTGGTCTAATAGTCTTTGTTTTTTGGGGGTGTGACAGTTGGATGAATCTGAGGGAAATGGACGTTTCTACATTGGAAAAAGGAGAACACAGTAACGGATTAGATCTGCTCCTGAGAGCCTGTATTGTGTACATGAAGAGATTTTAAAGCAAGTTGGATGAGAAGATTGACTCAGTATAGACTGATCCCCGTCAATAAATAATGTGTCATATTGCATGTTCAGCTGGTTTTCACTTTGCACGAGACGACATGACAGTGGTATCAATCCTCTCACACTCACAATAAGAAATTTTCCCACATTATCTCGTCATTTACTACGATAACTTCACAAAAATATTGCAGTTTCTCATATTTTCTGTAATGTATCTGCAGAAGAGGAAGAGATAGATCTTTTTTCAGTCACATAAATTAGAGAAAGTAGAACAATATAAATCACTCAAGGTGAATAATTACCGCGGAGAGACTCTTGGCAGGACTGAGATGTGAAGGAGAGTCTTTGAAGAGTGAATGGTTGGACTGGGGACTCTTCAACTGGCTGTTGTTGAGTGGCTGAAGTTTCCTGTAGAAAGACAAACACGGCACCTTTAGCTGGACAGTGACTGAGTTCTGTGAAGCTAAAGGTCAAAGGGCAGCGTGTAGGTTACAGATACACAAGTAGATGACCATTCATCATGTATTATGACATGGCTTGCCAGAGAGAAGACAGCAGGGGGCAGCTTCTCCACAGTTTGACATCAAAGACATAAAATAAATGATCTTTTAAATTGTATGAAAAGGTTTTTGGAAGGTTAGCCTGTATAGTTTTGTCTCCGGTGATAAACTCTACAGGAGGCAAGCGCCAATACCAAACACATCCAACGAGCAGAACAATAGCAGCAGATTTAACCTCTGTAGGACCAAACCCTCCTCCCTGGTAATCTGCTTCCTACAGCTCCTTCCTCAAACAGACGCTGCTACAAGTCCAACACCCCAAAATGGATTCATGCAACCTTAATCATCACCAGTGAAAGAGGACTTGGAAACAATTAGACATTACTCTCAGTGAAATGAAACCCGTGAGAACGTCTGAAGAATCTACTGCAACAAATCAATAAACGACAGCAAATAAATCTGGAGTTTATTCTATTTACAGGGTGGCACAGTTCTATCACACTTGGAAAACAATTTAGAGACTACAATTGTAAGCTTTTTTTGCGCTTAGCAGGGGTGGAGAAAAGAGGGGGGTGTGCAATCAGCCAAAAGGATTTGAGCTTTGTCCATTAAGTGATTCAGCAGGGCAGAGAAGGAGCGATTTAGAAGCTCCCCCTTTCAACATGATCAATGCAGACCTCAAAATTAATTAAGCAGCCTTTCTGTATTAACACCAGCACTTTCAAAATGCATCCATTGTTTAGTGCCTTGCCCGAATGGGTCTCTAACGAAATTAAACTTGCAGTAGTGATTTCAACAAAGTTGGATGAAAAGATGCACAGCACTCTCTCTCTCTCTCTCTTGATCTAAATCTGGACTGCAGGTGATTAGTTTAGCACAAAGAATGGAAACAGCCAGCTTGGCTCTGTCCACAAAAACATCTATTACCAGTATCTCTAAACATCCGTGTGAGTATGGATTACACAAAGCAGAAATAATGTGTTAATTAGTCGGCCATGGAGGTGCTGAAAGGTCTATATTGTTAAACACACACTGTAAGCCGTGCTATATTTTTAGCGTAGCCAGGAAACTCAACCGTCTCATATATTTGGATAAACTTCCAAAAATGTTGAACTATTTCTTAAAACAAGTAATTCCAACTCTCTCCGTGAAGCAAAGCGGTGCATCGCGGCCAACTGAAAACCCACCTGAGCAGGAGCCTGTGGATGAGTTGCTTCTCCTCCTCCAGATATCCAGGCCATTCTCTCTGGACGTTTCTGTAGAGCTCATCCTTGAGGGAGTAGCTTTGGTCTTTAGGGTTTAGTTTACCAACCTAAAAAACAAACAGTTCCCTAACTTAATACACAAAAAGAGAACACACCTCAACCTATTAACCTGTGATAACCCCCACCTTACCTTTAAATAACTAAGTAGGCCTGTATTGTTTGGCGGTAAACACTTAAACCCCACCTTTCTTATTCCTTATTGATACAAATCAAGACCAACACACCACTTTCAATTCTGAAATTAGTCGGAGCCCAGCTGGAGTCACCCCACCCGTCACTATCAAAACACAATCTTTTCCTTCAAATAGAATTAAAGCCAAGTCCTAATTACTGATACCGGGGGTGGCACTGTTTGCACTTGATGACTGCAGCGAGACACTCAGATATTTTAAACACAAGAAATATGCCTGAAATAGACCTCACCTTTTAATAGCTGCACAGCGGTGGTCTGGTCATTAGTAGAATTAGCAAAATAGCAATTTAGGGACTGACTTACGTTGGTAGTTACAATCCTTCACCTGATATCAACGTATACTAAAAGCCCTCCATATTTCGGTACCTCAATATATTTCCTCAAGTATCGAATGAGTTGTCGTGGCGATGTGGCTGATGTCTCACCTCATCCAGTAGAGAGGTCAGGTCAGCCTTGTCCTTTGGAATGGATCGGTCCCTCTCCAACCACAGTAGCAGCTCAGGTTTCTTGTAGGGCTTTAAGGCCAAGAGATGAATGATGCGATCCCTCAAGGGCCGGTGTGCCAAAGGTCTGGGAACCAGGTTCCTCTTATTGCTGGGGGAGTGCTTGTTGTTGCTCTCTGAGCCTGGTACCAGACCCTGCTTCCTCTGGACCTTCACGCACTTACCTAAGACCAAAACAAAGGGACACATGGCAGAGTTTCAGCAGTTGATTTTTGGAAGACACCAGTAAGGTTTTGAATCGAAAAAGTTATCAGTGCAATAATTTAAAGCGGTTTTGAATGGCCGTACTGTTGCCACAATAGCAGAAAACTAGAGAAGACCGGAAGAGATCGTAACTAATCTGACAACAGGATTCAAACAGGTTCACAGTATCCTGTAACAACGTAGCTAACATATCATTCCTAATCCAGTCATCAAGCCAGTAATACAAATCACACCCAGCTCTTAAAAGAGACGCCTGCGCACAATGTTGTATCGCCCTGCTGTCATGCCATCTCCTATACGGACAAGCAACACTTTCATCCCCATTTGAAAACGCTTAAGGAAAATACCTCGAGCACTTCTGTGAAGTGTTGTTGCGAGTGGAGAACAGTGAAAAGTGGCCAACCGTAGAGTTGGCCGACTGCTGAGTAAACAAAGGAGTGCGGAAACTGGAGCAACTAACACAGAGGCCCTTTCTTCCCTTTTGCAGCACTAATGCAGTTGGACCTGTCCAGGCGGTGCTTATAGACATCTACAGATCGTAATCTCGTTACAACCTTAAGCCATACTTTGGAGGTTGATATAGGTCAAGTAGTGTAAAACATTGCGTTCACGGGAGAGCATGGTAGGTCTCACACAAGGTGTTTTAAACATTGCACTAGAATGTATTTTTAGCAATGGTTAGTGTTCCTTGTAAAATTCAAACAAAGTCACTTTAAATATACAGTACTTTGCAAAATATAAAAGTCTTGCAGGAGTTTGTTTATACATCTACCTTGAACCGGGTCATGGCATGCAGCTATCCCTGCTGCACTGAAATAACCCATACTGTCACATTTCAAATAAGCTGCAACTTCAACTGGTGTCGATAGTTAGAAGCAGCTTGGGAAGTCTTCCCCTCTCAATGAAATTCTTTTCCCTCTTGAGACTGAACTTTAAATCATACATTATAATATAGTTTGTGGAAATTCCAAGGTTCAGAGAAGATGACAGCAGTCCAAAATCTCAATCTAAGGCCAAATAGTTCCAGGTTAAACATGGTCTCTTTAGATATTCTGAAGAAGTTCATTAACTAAAAATCAATCAAATTCCAGTCAGTGTAATTAAATGTTAGGAAAAACTTCATCAGCATGAGACTTGTTAGCGCATACTTCTGGCAAACTCAATCACATTAATGGTGCTGGCAGGCAAGCTGGCACAGCGCCTGAGCAATCTGGTCAAAATGAAAGGAAAATGACAAGACAGAGAGACGTCCCTCTCGCATGAATAATTGCAACGCAGAGCTTTGATCAATTATGTGATAACTTCCACACCATATGGCAATTATCAACAGGATAAAATGTGGAGGAGCAATGCTTTAGAAGCTTTCTGGGAACATGGGAACTCTCCGGTTATCTTTCCTTGATCCCTACACGCTTGAAGGCTGCTACGTAGACACGGAGGCCAGAAGACGCACCAGAACGTGGATACGGCTATTAAGCAAAAGCTTACTTGGTCCCGGCTTTATCTCAATTGCCGAGCGGCTCCAAATGTCCTTCTCCACCTGAGACATGCGCTCCCGGGTCGCCTGGTAGGAGTCGTCGGTGGCACAGACTGTGATCTTATCCTGAATGCTGCCCTGGCCCTCCAGGTGATCCCTGCCCTCCCTGTGGGTAGGAGAAAGGAGAAGAGAGAAAGCCTCAGAGAGCTGGCTCAGCTCAATTAAACGGGCCAGCTGCCAAACACAACCAGCGGAGATTCTTGCTGTCATACAAAACATTCAAATGGTTTGTGATAAACACAACCGGTTATGTGACTTGCGCCTGGCTTGTAAAGTCCAGTCCTGTGCTATAAATCCTCAAGAAAGGCTCATATCTGTCCTTTGATCCTTCGACACTGGAGCCACGGTCACTACCTCTCTGTTCTCAATTATTACTGGTTAAACCTTTGCGGTCAGTTGCAACATGGCACCTTTTGCCGTTATTGTAGTCTTGTTTGAATCCAGCCGGACAGTCTCACTGTCCATTGTTGCACTGAAGAGAGAAGCCACTGTCTGGTGAGGCCCTGCGGCCGTATAGTCCGACACAAACTTTACTACAGAATCACATTTGTGGTGGACTGTGGGAAGAGCTACGGGTGCAGCTTACCCAGAGACGTACTGGTGAACGCAGTCGAAGCTGGACTGAGGTTTGTCTTTGCTGTCGCTGGAAAGGTAGAATGAGAAGACTCTGAATTCGTCAGGAGACTCTGGTGTCGGCACCGGGATCTTAACGTACTGTTGGGAGAAATACAGACACAACATTTTCTTTAGCAGCAGTGAAGTATCTTTCAATGAAAAGTCAAAAAGTCGTAATATCGGTTTACAAGGTTGCCTGTTGTCATCATTTTTTCCTTCAAAGCTTTAGTGTTTTCTAGCACAGTATTTTACATACGATTTATTCCTTACAGACCTACTTTAGAAAAATGGCAATTCATTGTTGAACATCTTAACTGCACTGAAATGATCTGCGTTGTCCAATATACTTTTCATAAATCACAACCTTGTTTTATTATGTTAGACACATCATGAATACTTAATAAACAAGACTAAATACTGTCAATACATTTAGGCAAAGTTTCCTTTCATCATTGAAAAAAAAGGAGAATGAATTATAGTCTTATAAATTCTGCAAATTGATTTAGCAAATTGAATCAAATCTCCTGCGACCCACCAGCCTTCAGCGATGACTGAACTCACATGCGTCAGAGTACGGTATCCACTCACACTGCTAATTTGAGTGGTGTGTTGTGTAATGAGCAAGGTTTTATTTTTCCCAGATGTAACCGGATCGGATTCAATGTAATCTCAAAGTGAGGGAAAACACTGGATAACAGATCAACAAATCAGCTAATTTTAGTCCCACGACTCACTGTCTTTTGTTTTGTTTTTTCACCATAGAAAAATGTGACCTAAATAATCTTCCGCTTGGGCCAATCGCAGCGTCTACATTGTACCTCCCAGGTCAGCGATGATGACCTGTAGCCAGTGGTAGGGGGAGCCTGTCTGAAAGGCAAAACATAACAATGGTATAGCAGACAGCTTTTCCACCGAGACGTTAACCTCCTCTGTCACAGAGTGTCAACCGCTCCCTAGCAACAAACAAGCCAGCTGGGTGAAGTCTATCCCCGTCAAGGACCTCTTACATAAAATGACCCGAAAACCTATTTCCACCAAAAAGACAGTTCAACATAGAAAGTCATTAACGAACAAGTAATTTGTCCTTTAAAACTCATTTAGCAGGGGCTCTTTTCAACGATGCAGCTGTGTTCCATTCTGAAAAAAAAGATAGAGCTTAGTACTTTTGCTGATAGTGTTCTGTCCCAGATACAAGAGGAACCCCGTGATGGTCATCCGTTCTGTACAAGCGTGAATACATGGCCCCTTAACGTGAGGTGGCTGCAATAGCCCCCACCACGCAGGACTTTCTCCAACCGCAGGTCTCAAAGAACAAGTCAGATGGACTTGAAGCTGCCGCTTTAGTCATCAGTCATACGTGATTGATTATAAACTGACTTGCTGAGAGCACAGTGTCCCTGGCAGATGTGGCAGGCAGGACTATAGCTGTCACTAATGCCCGGTCCTGCAGCAAAGCCAAAAGCTGTTTTTTTGTTTTTTTTTGCAGCACGTAGGCCAACAAACAGCCCCTCGTCTCGGCACCCCTCCTCCTCTCCTCTACAAACCCAAATGCATGCCATTCACCCCACCCCCATCCGCCTCCAGCTTTCCTTCATGCGCACAAGCCCACCCATGTCAACACAAAAACGCAAAGAAGCCCACAAGACCATGAACACTTGAGATATACAGCTGACCATTAATTCTGACCTATTTATGTCCGACTTCTGCTTTGGGTTTTTACGCTAATTAAGTACGATCAACCCCCCCAAAAAGCATCAAATTGAGCGGCGACGAGCTGTGTCTTCAGGACCTATTACTCCACAATTTAGAAGCAACAAGTCACTCAAGTTATTGACGCAGAACTGCAGCTGATTTTGATTTTAGAATGAGATCCTGTGAAGAAAAGCTACAGCCCAAGATGAGATGGGAGCAAACGTGTACACATTTATCATCAAAATAGTGCCACCACCTCCCCTCTTTCAGTCAATGGCAGCAGTGTGAACCCCCTCCAGTCATGCATTAGTTTTGCCCCCCCCCCCCCGTCCATGCCACCGTGCACACTTCACATTCTAATTCTAATCGATGTCACTCAGGTCAGACTGTTCAGAGGTCGACCCTGTTTTATTCACAGCTTCCATCCTGAGCTTCATAACCATATGTCATTTAACCCATTAGTTTCCAGTTTCTGACTCCTATAGGAGAGCCTGTCAGTCCAACGTCAGGTTCACAGACAAAAACAAATCGCTCATTCGCTTTCTGTTGAGTTTGTTTAGAGGATTAATTCTCTCATCACATGTCTGTACGGTAAATATAATTCGAATTAGCTTCATTTAGCACAAAGACAAGGAAATGGATAGCTATCTAGTTTATTACTGTACAGAAACAGAAGTGTCTCAAAATAACTACCTGTCTTAATGTAAACATCCCAGTAAAAATGTTAAACCAATCAGGAATCAGGAATCAGGAATCAGGAAACATTTATTGGCCAAAATATGTCAAACATACAAGGAATTTGTCTTGGCGGTTAGTGCGCGACAGTAGACAGACAAGACAACAGTGCACAGGTAATAAAATAAAGTGGAATGAAATGCTAATGCAATGGGTTAGTAAGAATAAGGCTAAGGCTATGGGTTAGTAAAAAAACAAGGGAATAAAGTTAAACAAATTTTAAATATTAAAAAGTTAAAAAGAAAAGTATTAAGCATAAAGTGCACTAACAAACAAGTAACAGACAAGAGACAAAGTGACAAGTGACAAAGTGATGAATTGCAGTTAAAGTGGCATGTGCAGTGTGAGGGGGAGTGACCGGTGGAGTGTTATAGTCAGGCAGTGGGGGACCGGGCTCTGTTGATGAGCCCGACTGCCGACGGGAAGAAACTGTTCGTGTGGCGGGAGGTCGTAGTCCTGATGGACCTCAGCCTCCTGCCAGATGGAAGGGGCACAAACAGTTTTTGTCCGGGGTGGGAGGGGTCGGCCGCGATCTTTTTAGCTCGCTTCAGAGACCTGGAAGCGAACAAGTCCTCCAGGGACGGCAGATTGCAGCCGATCACCCTCTCTGCAGAGCGGATGACACGCTGCAGCCTGCCCTTGTCCTTGGCTGTGGCTGCAGCGTACCAGACGGTGATGGAGGAGCAGAGGATGGACTCCATGATGGCCGTGTAGAAGTGGACCATCATCGTCTTTGGCAGGTTGAGTTTCTTCAGCTGCCTCAGGAAGAACAACCTCTGCTGAGCCTTCTTGGTGATGGAGCTGATGTTCAGCTCCCACTTGAGGTCCTGGGTGATGATGGAGCCCAGGAAACGGAAGGAATCCACAATAGTGACGGGGGAGTCACACAGGGTGATGGGGGAGGGTGGGGCTCTGTTCCGCCGGAAATCCACAACCTTTAGAGCGTTGAGCTCCAGGTTGTTCTGGCTGCACCACGACACCAGATGGTCAGACTCCCACCTGTAGGCGGACTCGTCCCCACCAGAGATTAGTCCAATGAGGGTGGTGTCATCCGCAAACTTCAGGAGCTTGACGGACTGGTGGCTGGAGGCGCAGCTGTTGGTGTACAGGGAGAAGAGCAGAGGGGAAAAAACGCAGCCTTGGGGGGAACCGGTGCTGATGGTCCGAGAGGCATGTTTCCCCAGCCCAGCTCAGCCCAATCACAGACAAGTTTGACTCGACATTGGACACTAAACAATTGTGTAATAGTAGCAAGAGAATGATAATTAAGTTATCTTATGGAGTCAGTACTGCCAGTTATATAGCAAGTTTGCTGGCACATGCTAATCGGTCTCCACAATACCTACATTTAAACTAAATTCCATACATTCTGGTATGGGTGTTGGCCAATAACAAAAGAGGCTTGTTTGTGTAGAAAGGCCAAAAATGATGTTTTAGGTGATGAAGAAAGTGTCTCTATTAAACATTATAGGAATATTGATATCAGCAATTCAGCATCAGTCAGGCTGCTGGTCAAAAGTACAAATACCAGAGGGTATTACATTTAGCCACAGTGCGTTTTATTGCTTGCTTGGTCCTTGGTCTCAGTGTTTTAATATGCGAGCGGAAGAAGGCATTTTTTTCTTTCTAAAGTTTCATTCGTTTTGCTTTAGTGGTCTGAACCCAAAGTGTTTTATTATCTTATGTCATTTTTAGAGTCTCCATCTGTAGTGGTGCATTTAAAATTGTTATATGAGGGTGTGTTCATCATGGGTGGAGACATCATTACTTCAGGAAACATGATGATCATGATCACATTACATTACATGTCATTTAGCAGACGCTTTTAAGCGACTTACATTACACTTTAAACACAAGGCTTTTTCACATTTTTGCCCGCGGAGCAATTAGGGGTTCGGTGTCTTGCTCAGGGACACTTCGACATGGAACATGGGGCAGGCTGGAATCAAACCACCAACCTTGTGCTTCCCAGCACACCTTCTCTAACCCCTGCGCCACGACGACCCCTGGTCAGTCAACGACGACTGAGTGGTAGAGGAAACCACTAAACAACTTAGCTATAGATTCGATATGCAAGGTTGTGACCCACAGTGACCCGGAATACAGTTACCATCATAGCCAAACCATGCAAATTGGCCTGAGTTATCATCATGCCACTTAGCCTGATAATGGTGTTTCAGTGACACCACTTGTGCCCACTGGATTGGGATCCTGACGCAAATAAAACAAGCTAATAAACAAACAGAAAACACTGAAGTTGCAATCCAAAGTTTAAATATTAGTCACAATAAGTACGATGAGTTAAAGGACTGGTGGGTTGTGTAAACACATCCATCCAACACACAAATAACTCAAGCTGCATGTATTTCTATAAGTAAGTGCATTTGAATTGTTATGCTTACGTACTTATTTAAAGTCAAATCAATATATTTATTCAATGGCACAGAGTACACATTATACAGTTAATAATGTCTTAATGTGATTAAGCAGAGTCCACAAACAGTCACTTTTACAAAGTTGTTTTCCTTTAAATGTCTTTTAAATAATTACATGAGTATATTTGTTTTAGACATTTTCATTAATATCAAAAAATGTCTATTCCGACTGTAGTTTTGAATTATTATGGAAATAATGATAAAATCTGGGTTATTTGTCTAGCTCTGACCCAGTGA